GTCCAAGATAATATTCTTTAAGGGATTTCAACCTCCAAATTAATAATCAGCTTTTTCCTATCAGTCAATCAATACTTTTTTTTAATGTCTTAAAATATTGAAAATTGACTTGACAATTGAGCCTATGCAAATGCCATGAATTTACAGACACATATCAGTTAATCTAACAGATATACGACATTGATTACAGTCTCTAACAAAGCAAATAACAAAGCAAATGTCTACAACAGATTCTAGTTCACTTTGTGAAGTATTTTTATAGTCTGTCTTTGGCTTTCCCAGCCTCACTTTGTGAAGGACCTGGCATGTCTTCCTCGGTCTGTGTTATTATCTCTCTGACCACGAAATCCACCTCCCACAAACCTGAAACAATATCAATGTGCTGTAGTGGAAAACCATGAAAGCTATAGGTTGTGCATCTTATAAATCATCTGGTTTGTACATTAGTAGTGTAATAGGCAAAAGAAATACATGTAAAATAAGACCAACGTAGAGGCCAGCCAAAGAACAGCCTGCAGTCCCTACCTCCCTGTCTGTTGATTGGTGTCCCTTGCATGATACAGACCACTACTACTGACTTGAGTAGCAAAACGGAAGTCCCGCCCCGTGTTTAATGGCCTCTCAGTAGATACAGGGTGAAGACTGAAAATAGAACATTAAATTTTTTTTAGAGAATATAATAAAAAGAAACACCTATATTAATGCAGTTGATATGAGAGAAATTCTGTTTTATTACTTACACACGTCCAAAGCTGTCGAAGTTCTGTTGTTTGGGTCGGCTGTTGTTGTAGCCTCCCCTGCTTCCCCCACTGGTACTTACTGTATTGATTCCCCCTCCTCCAACTACAAAGAATAGAGAAAAATCATATCAATAATGAAACTTTTAACCAAAAATACATGAAATGCTAATTTTCTTTTCAGCAGGTAGTGTAAATTCTGATTTTTTTTTACCATAAATGTTGTTGGACTCCCGTCTTCCGTAAGTTCCAGGGGGAGTGAAGAAGCTACTTCTTCCTCTGTTACCACGATTACCTCCCCTATCAAAGTTACTCCTCCCTCTTCCAGTGTTTCTGGTTCCATCCTTAAAGTTACATGTATTTGCATTTTTATGTCACATAAATGTTGCACTGATTATATATGGCGATTGAATTTATTTCTTATTTTGATTCTGTCTATAAATGTACGAAACATTAGTACATGTTTATCTTATATGCCCTTCCCTATGGAAGATAAATAGATGAAAGATAAAAATTTTGAACAAAAAAATATAAGAATGTGAGAAGCATCTAATACCCTTTGTATAAGTGAGTCCACTCTCCTGATTGGTGACACAGTATCTGAGTCTCGGTCATCTTGTCCTTTCTCTAACTTCATGAAATCATCCACATGCATGGATGGCGGTCTGCTGGTGTTTGGAGTGCGAGTTCGGAAGGAGTCCATTCTACCACTAGCTCCCATCATTCCCCTGGCAATTCCACGCCCGCGCATGGGAGCCACTGTGATGAAATATATTTTCATGAGCACCCAAATCATAATTTTTTGAATATTAAAGTTAAGTTTTCCATTTTATGCTGCAACTCACCAAATGGTCTTTTGGCACCCCTGCCTCTATAAATGCTGATCTCCTGTGATTTTCTCCTGTCCCTGAAATGAAACAAACATAAGAAAGAAAGGAAATGCTTTCGAAAGTTCAATAATATTTCCATTAAATGTTTCCTTCGACTTTACCCTATTTTGATCCTCCTTGGTTTGGTGACCTCAGCTTGTGAGGTGATCACGGTCTTTTTGAGCTCCTCCTCCAGGTTAAATTCTGGGCAGTACTTCCTACACATCTCCTGCAGGTTAGCCTTTGTCAGGTCGGGCTCAATGTCGGCCACGTCCATGGAGGGATTAGACAGCCAGTACTCGGGATTCAGTCTCTCATCCTCAATATCAGTCACAATGAACACGGTCCTCTTGTTGTACAGGTTACTAAGGGACTCTATGACTACTGGTGGCTCTGTTAATACTGCAACAAGAAAATTGTAGATGAGTACAGTGGAGCCTCATTTATCCGGATGCTTTGGTTCCTTGTCAATTTGTCTGGATATTTGAAGCATCCGGATATCTGAATTACCAGTTAAACAAGACAAAATAACGTTAAAAAATTCTGTTCCCATGAAAAATCTTCCGGATAATGAAGCATCCGGATATCTGAAGGTCCACTGTATTCTAGAATGATTTTAGAATGGCAGGGTACTGCTGCCATGGTGTCTGTATGCTTAGTATTTTACTAGGTCAGAAATTACCATGTCAAACTTTTGACCCTTTATTTGGCCTGATCATAGCCTCAAGAAGTTAAGCTACCTTGAAATATTGTAAGGTTAACATGATTTCCAAACATAAAAACTATCCCATTTTCTAATTCAGTAAAAGTTTATTAGCTTGCTGCTCTCGAAATGTTTACTATAGATGTAAAGTAGCATACCCTTTTTCTCCTTGCCTTCAGGTTCCCTCAGCATCTTCATCAGTCCGGTCATGCTCTCATATAAACTCTCCAGAGTCTCCTCATCCTTAGCACTCTCCTGATCAAGATTTAAATGATTTTACAATTATTAGTAAGCCTCAGGACAGGAAAAATTTTACAATCACAGTCAAACCAAGAAAGTAAGTGGTTCCAAATCACTTCAACATATCCATGGCATTTGAGACATCAGTGTTGGGAGATATCAAAGTTCAACTGTATAAGCATAGAGGGTATACACATACGTAAATGTCAACTTCATCTTAACATTAATAATCTCCATACTGGGTTCCTTTGATGCTATTTATAAATACCATACCTCCACTAGTTTCTCCAAGTCCAGTAGGGGGTGGTCATCCATGCTGGGATTCCTTAGATTTTACTGATCTACACTAATACAGTTAATTCTCGATAAACCGCCACCTTTTGTAATTTAGAAATCATGGCGGTATAACGAATTTGGCGATAAATTGAATTTCCCATCTTTTAGGAAACAAGAAGTCAGAGTTACCGTTCTTAGAAATACCATTTAGCGTTCCTATTCTTATAGTTACATGTACATGTATATTAAACATATTTCTTAATTTGAAAATACTTCAAGTAATTTTTATGTACGTAACAATTTCGTTAAAACAAAATGTGCAATTATGAAATAAAGACAAGTACATGTACATGTGTATGCATGTAAATTGGCACGTTTGATATTGAAAAAAAAACACATGCTGGGTCGATCGTCATGACGGTACGTAAAATGATTTCTTGAATAAATTCGTTGTTTATGGCATCATTTTAAATGAAATGTTCACAATTTATACCGTATAATTATTTGTTAAGCAAACTTAGAATTGTTTAAAGCAGAGATCATCAAAATAATATCGTATTCGGCGTACTTTGACAACTACTGCTTTCGTGGCGAAGCCACGACTAAATGATTTTTATTAAACAGAAAACAAAACCATTATAACAGTTCATATTAAAATTATTGCTTATTTAATTCTTATTTAATTATTTAATTGCATATACCTTGTCTGGCTTTGCATACTTTACAACAGGGATAGCGTCAACCAATTAGCCGCGCTTCACTGACCGCATGCACCTGTGGCGAAAACAGGGTGGCGGATGGCGGTATGCAAATTTGGCATTATAAAGAGAATTTCAGGAAAAACGTTCTTGGGAAATCATGGCGGTGTTGCGAAAATGGCGATGAATCGAATGGCGATAATTCGAGACTTGACTGTATTTATATCATACCTCCACTAGTTTCTCCAGGTCCAGTAGAGGGTGGTCATCCATGCTAGGGTTCCAGGACAAGACCTCCTGTAGTTCCTGTTGAGAGAGAGTGTAGGTCCGCGGCGACGTTAAGTCCTCATTAGATGGCTGCTCCACCGTCATCAGCAGACGGAGGAACTCCAGTAATGTGGATAAGGTGGAGAGACAGTCAGAACTGTCCTTACTGAAGGTCGTGTTGATCCGGACCATCAGACGACCAATGGCAGTGGTCTTCTGCTCCAACACACTAAAAGAAATTGATGAGTGAAAGTTCTACATGTATTTTATGAGTATCTTGTGGTTGCATATTTTCTTTTTACCCAAAAAATCATATCTTAAATAAGAAGTTAATATTTCTAAAGAAAGAAAAGTGAACAGTTTTTAATTTACACAAGTATACGGAAGTTTTTTTTGAAGCATTATCCCATTTACATGTCTGTATAAGTATCTTCCAATATAAAGGTTGGATTATATCAAACTCCTAATCAGAAGAAAAGTGATTCTGAGGATTTTGGATCTAAACAGCACATTCAATCTCACTATTTTCTGTGCTGTTACCTCTTTAAGTAGTAGAATCCGTAGTCATGGTCTGTTAACATGACCAGAGTCCTAACACAGGGCAGAATAGAAGCATAGCTGTGATCAGCACTCCCCATATGGTCCAGCAGGGCGGTCGTTATCTGGGTCATGTAGTTCCCATTAGGCAGGGCAAGGGCAATCTAGGGATAAAGGTCAAATCATTATCTTATGGATGAAAAACTTCTTAAAAAGTTCAAGGATATTTACAGTATCCTTTTCAATAAATTTATTAAGATGTGTTCTCTTCATTTTGTGTCTACAAAATAACTTTAAAATTTACAATAAATTTAATAGGAATTTTGCAAAAAGGTGGACTCTTTTCCAAAAGGAACAAAAAATCAACAATTATAAAATGCACATATTTTTTTTTACAATTTCTATAACACTGGAATAATTTGGGAGTAAATTGAATGCTGTAAAGAGAATTATTAATAGAACAAGATGTGTTTGAGAAACACTGATGCCCCCGTCTGGCAACATAGCCAAGATTAAACTTTTCTTAAATGCAAACTCACTGGAAATACAGTTCTGAAATACGAAAGTAGGCCAAAGTTAAAGTTTTTTCATACGTATGGAAATCTCCAATGTCAAGGTCAAAAGATCAAGGTAGTTGGTATCCAATGAAAGGTCTTGCCACAAAAACTACAGA